TCCTGTAGATGAGTGTAAACTGTAGAGTCCTGGCCTGTAGATGAGTGTAAACAGTCTAACAGGATTAGAGCACAGTCTGAGGAGGGGGTGTATTTGCCCCCCCCCCTCCACCGCTCTGCTCCATGGTAATCCTCCAATCAGAGGGGAGTAATGAGCCCACTGTGGCTCCTCCTTCATCCCAGTTACCATGGTAACAGCCAAGGAGCTGATGTTTGAGGAGAGCTGACGACAAACTGTTGACTGTTATTAACCCAGTGTTAACAACCAGGAGTTTAACTAACACCTGCATCACAGGACAAACTGTGTATCCATCCACTGCAGAAAGTAGTGCCTGAGTCCTCCGAGTGTGTGTGTGTGTGTGTGTGTGTGTGTGTGTGTGTGTGTGTGTGGTTCCTCTAACTGATGGATTGATCTGTAGAACCTCTGCTGGACTCAGAAGGTTTTCCTGCAGGAACATGATGATGTCAGCGGTGGGCGGAGCTAAAGCTCCTGAGCTGTTAGTGAAGCATGTTTCCACAGATAGATGTCATCGGGGGGGGGCTGCAGCACATGATCCCTGACAGATTAGAGATGTGGCTCAGGATTATAATCTGAGCTGATCTTCAGTCTTTGTGCTGCAGTCGTTTCATCCTGAAGCTGCAGAGCTGATGAAGAGGAGCTGCTCTTCATCACCTCTGCTCTCTTACAGTCCAACAAACGGGTCACTTCAGGTCCTAGTGGTCCTGATGGTTCTGACACATGAAACCAGACCACTGAGGATCCATAGACTTCACATCAGAACCACCAGGGTCACAGAAGTGGACTTTCCATGACTGAGCTGCTCTTCATGTTCAACACAAACACTCTGAGCTTTGTTTAATGTGAAACCTGTTGAAGCCATGYTGGATGATGTCACACAGTGGGAGGGGCTTGGCTTTTAAACACARCTCTTGTTTGTGTGTTTTCAGACTTTGTCGGCGTTCCAGGTGTCCTTAAACGATGACGGTTTGATCGTGGCCACTCTGGAGCCTGCAGACCTTCAGGAGAACGTCACAGCCTATGCAGTGCAGATCTCTGGAGAACCTAGACTGGTTCTGGTTCCGTTCCCTAACAGCAGCGAGCCTCTGCTGTTCAATGCCTCCTTCCACGGCCTCTGCTACACTGTGGGACTGCTGGTCAAACTGGGTCTGAGCTGGTCCAGACCCACAAAGAGCATCTCTGTCCTCACCAGTAAGAACACTTAAATAATACATGCAGGGCTTTTACTTTGAAAGGTTCAATTTATAAATGACCAAACAGGATTTTAGTCCGATTTCAACAAATACTTTGTAAGAAAAGAGAAATCTGACCACAGGGTGACCAACCTTTTTTTGAACCAAGAGCTACTTTTGAAGTYGGMAGTTTGCAGAGATCTACTGGTCCAGTCCCAGTATGAAAACAACACAAACTGGTCTCCTTACTCCTCACTTCTTTAAACAAAACAGAAYGTAATGTGTTGTTAGTTTTATTTAATTTAAAGTATTGTCAAACAAAACTATCTACTTAACCATATATTTACCTACAAAAAAAGAAAAGATAAAATCCTTACTTAACTCCTGACAGAAACAGAAAAGTGATGCTCGAACTTTTTTACCTCCTTCAGTTAGTACTTCCTGTAACATGTGAGCTGTGAGGGCTGAAACCTGCACACTGACAACCACAGAGTCAAATAACTGTGGAGCACGGGAACTCATCTCATTTATTCAAAGAACTCTCCTCTCTTCTCTCCATACTGGGGGGGGGGGAACAAAACATAAAACTAAAGTCAAAACACACAATATTAACTCTCTTGTTTATACTATTACACAAAGTGACTTA